AAATAAATAAAAATTAAAAAAATATATAATAGTTAAATTAATGATATGTTTGATATAAATATAAAAAATAATATTTAGATTTGGAAATATAAATACATAAAAATTGGATTCTATGTATGTAAATATTTCCCCTCAGATAAAAAAAAAGATGATAAATATGTAAATACAGAAGAATTGGGTGTTATCCATGTAAATGCATCAAAAAATTTTCCCAAAAGTTCCGCTCCTCACAGCCCACGCACATTGCTACGACATGGGTGTTTCTTATGTAAATATGTAAGAATTTGGTGGTATGTATGTAATCTCAGGGTCTCACCTAAGGAGACTCACCCGCTTTGTTGCTTGACCTTCTCTTTGTTTTAACCCACATTGGGAAATTCAAGAATCTTTTATTAAGAATCCACTATAAATCTAAAAAAGATAGGAAATAAGGCAGTAATTTTTATGTTTGCTCCACACAATTTTTATGTTTGCTCCACACTTCTAAAAAAGATAGGAAATAAGACAGAGGCCCAAATACCAATTTTCCATGTGCTAGGCCCCATTATGAGAGTCCGCGCTATGTGCCTAAATATTCGAGAACCCAGCGTCACTGGGGATCGAACCCGTGACTTGAGGGGACTTACAGTGAACCACGCCAACCAATAGGTCATGACTTGCGACACAATATATCAATATGTATAGATTTGTCTCTTTGAAAATGTTTAAAATAAAAAAAAAACATAATTTTTAAATTTTAATTTGAGCTGAAATTCAAGTTCGAACACGAGCTTAAATCGAACAAATATGTTTGAATCGAGCCGAACATGAACATGCTACTCACGAGTTATTTCAAACACGAGCCGAACACGAACAATAAATGTCTAACAAGCCAAACACAAACAAGCTTTAGGCTCGCTCAAGTTCGGCTCTTTACACCCCTAACATACATTCACACAATGTTTACCTCCAATGTCTCTCTCTCCTCTCTTACTCAAGTTCCTTGCCTTAATTTCCTCACTTGCTAAAGTTATTAAGTGTGTTCAAAAGGAGAGATTGCTTAGCAGAGTCTTCTCCTTAGAATAAAAAAACTTTTTCATGGAATTTAACTTCCTGTTGAGAGGAATTTATACTAGTGTGGGCAGACAATAGTTTGGTTCTATTGGCAAGCTGAACAATATATAATGGAAACAAATCATTTTTGAGATCCATATTAGATTAAAAAGCCTTTTGTTAGTGGAGTTGTGGTATTTAGGTTTATTAGAGAATTTTTGTTCAAGCACCTTATCTTTGGACTTTAAGACTAATAGTGGAGATCATTTGTATTGAATGGTTGGATCCATTTGGATTTTGAGATTAGTGTTAATTTGATTTGGAGCTATCACTAATATTGAGGTGATTTGGCAGTGTAATATTGTAAGGACCTTGGTCTTGTTTATTATCCATTACATGAACGTTGCATATGCGTGAATCTCTTCGCTTTTAATCTTACAATTGGGATTATTGTGGGTTAAGGAATGCACTGCGTTACAAACTTTGAATATTTTTATTAGGGTGATAGTGTATGGCATTAAAAATAATCTACTATCTCAAAATATAGAAATATCATTCTATAATATATTTAATAATGACAAAGATTTTAATATTTATGAGCCACCATAAACTTGAGTTTTTTTATTCTAATTTAGATAAGATATATAGTTTATTTTATTCCGGATTTTATGTTTCCTATAGAGGCAAGCTCTTATAGGTAACTACATCTGATGAGTGAACAAACACTTTTAATTAAAACGACAATGGATGTCTATAAATTCCAGCATTTAAGTTTCACGATTGCTCAATTGGAACTTAATTGGGAAAATTCAATTTGAAATGTTTCTTTTTAGAATTGAAAGGATAAAAAATAGTGTTTTGATTTTGAGAAGTTCGGTAACATTTAAACTATCATTTATTTGGTTTTATATTTTGAAAATTTAGATTTTTTATTTTTTGAGTTTTTTATTTTAGCAAAAGGTTAAGATTTATGTTCTTACAATGCCATATTGTAAAAAAAAAATATAGGGGTTGAGGATTTACATCATAACAAAGGGAAACGATATCTCAGAATATAAAAATTAGTTTGAGAACTATTAGCACAATAGGTTCTCGAATATATTCTATGAGAATGCAATGATACTTGTATGTATGATCCCTGCCAAGAAATAAAACTAAAGGCTAACTCTTCTAAACTTAAAACCCTGTCTAAAAAGGATAATCAACTTATCCGCAGATGCGTCAAATCCATGAAGCATGATCTAATGAGATGCAAGATATGTTATTGTTTAGATTTAAAAGATCAGTAAAATCTTTGAATCGACCCTATAGGTCAAGCAACCCTACTATGAATAGTGTGCTGCTCCTAACTAATACAATAATTTACAAATTTCATCTTTATTTAGTTATTTCAATTCATTTTGAAGGTTTTAGGGATGCTACTATGCATGTAGGTATGCATTGTCGCTATCAGACAAATCTAAAGGCTAATTTGGGTTAAGTTTTAGTTATTTAGTTGTGTAGAAATTTAATTTTACCTTAAGAGTTTGACAAATGAAAACTTGGCTTTCACACAAACACAGAAGGAATCATTAACAAAAAAAAGGCTGCTAGTGCACAAGCAGAAGTAAATACACCAAGTAAATAAAAATAAGAATAATATAAAAGAACATACCAGTGTAGTTGGGTGGTATTGCTATACAGCCGGAAAAAATGAACATGGGCAGCCAAGTCCTGCACTTAGAAGACTTGGCTTAGAACTAAAGGTTTAACCTGTAAAAGTCTTCTTATTGATCATCTTCGATTTGCTCCCTTCGAGGTGTAGGCTCTCCAAACATCGTAGGATATTACTGGTTGCACAACTCATCTCTACTAATCCTAAACTTGCAAGTCTAGCTTTTAGTTCTGTTTTAATTTATGCTCTTAAATGTTGAATAGAAAACCTAACTAAACCTCCAAAATAAATGCTTTTGAGCACCACACAATCAAGTAGTTAAAAACGAACTTAAATTTCCGGTATTAAAGGTGATGGTCAAAAGAGGTTGAATTTGGTGGAGGTTGCAAGAGTGAATGATTTGTTGGTTGTCTTTGAACACTTTGTTATTAGCATATTATCAAACTTGAGTTTGAGTGAGGCAGGCATGCTGTTGCACCAAAGGTAAATTGTTGCTGCCTGCCAAAACTTGCATTATAAACACAGCTATTTAACCGCCACATATTGGAAGGTTTGTGAAACTGGCCAAGGCTAACTTGTAAATTGATGATGCTTTGACCCCTTACTAAATGGTTATTGATGCCTTAGAGAAGTCTAATGCCAATGATGAGGAATGCAGAGTAGAAAAGGATTCACATAGCACCTGTTGTCATCTAGAATCCTTTCGGATGGTTCTCAATGAACATTGATGACTGTTGAATCCAGATTTGGAGTTTGTATCCTAATGGTTTTGGAGTCATTGAAACTAATTTAATTTCTAGCATTATATATATGTATATATATATATATATATATATATATA